TATTTTTCAGTCTTTATGATGGTGGATACTTGATCTATCTCTTACTGTTATATCCCCAGGCAACGCCGGCTCTAATGTAGTATTATAATATATATATATATATATATATATATATATATATATATATATATATATATATGCATTTATTTATATATCATATTCATATATAACTATCCATACAACATAATATATATATATATATATATATATATATATATATATATATATATATATATATATTTTTCAAAGTCATATGAATTCAAATTTAGTTTTCTTTACAAATAAATATCCCCAAGACTAACAATGACAATATACCCTGCCATTTAAATATATCTGGGGTTGTGGAAAAATGGTTTTATCATGATATATTAGTATGAAGGGAACACAACTGAAAATATATATATATATATATATATATATATATATATATATATATGTGTGTGTGTGTGTGTGTGTGTGTGTGTGTGTGTGTGCGTGTGTGTGTGTGTTTATGGAATATTTTATTAATTTCTTTTTAGGTAGTATCTCTTGTTTTTTTCATATATAGGAACAAATGGTTGATTCCAGACAATGCAGGAATTGTCCAATTAAATATTATTGTTCTCATTGGTTCTAGTGCGTTTGAGAACAAAACTTATGTGTTATTTATCAGAAGATGAAATGATGACTTTAAACTGATGTCGTATTATGACTTATGTCAGAGAAAGTTATTTTTTAAGAATTTTACATAAGAGGTCATTGGGGAGAGCAAGGAAAGCCATTGATTACAAGGCTAGTATGTCTACCTCTGTAACTTGAAAATGTTCCCCAAATTTTTCCTTTTTCTGTTTTATAGTTAACAAATGAAGAAAAGTTCAAAAAGACTTATCTTTGTAACAGACTTTACGTTTCGCGTATAAACCATTCCAGGGTTCACGTTTGAAAATTTATTAGCGGTAGAACTGATATAAAAATATTTTATCACAACAAAAAATTTTTTTACCATATTCTCAAATCGCAATAGTAAAAGACGTCGGAATTCCCAAAAGCGACATTTCAGAAATTCTCTTGAATAAAAAGTGGAATCATCCAGGGTGCACGACAAAAACAGTGACGTTTGAATAATGGTAAATACACCCATTTGCTGAACGACCATTTGAGTTTTGGGTGAAGGTGGAATTTTGCATTGATTTAGCACCATAATATAGACTGCGTGCAGCACAGCAGAGCCTGACTGATAGAGGTGTCACCACATTGAAAGATTGGCCAACCCAGAGTCCTCGCTTAAATATGGAGTAAATATGAGCAGGGATAAAGAGAAGATTTCGTTAGAAGAATCTACAATAAATCTTGAAAAATTGTGGGAGTTCATTTATAGACAATGAAATGTCATACTTGTGAAGATGGCGAAGGAATTGTAAGTAGCTTATCACAGAGGCATTGAAATAATTATTCCAGCTAAGGGATACCACACGAAATATTAACAACATAATTGTTTGAAATAACTACTTGGAATGAACATTATATAATATATTTCAATATAAATATTTTCTGTTTTAAAATATTGTATCTGACTTAGTTTATGTAAGGTGACCAGAAAATATTTGCAGTTTCTTTCTTCATTTAGTCCTTTAATAATTGGTTATGTGCTAAAGATGGCATATATCTGCGCTCTCCCTTTGTCTTCATATATGTATATATAGGGATAGAAGATGTTATCTCCTAACATACTAATTTCACCATGTGCTTGTCTGTATTATTCAAGTGTTACTTCCGGTATGCAATCAAAGAATGGCCTTCTTCTGAGGAAAATATGTCTAGAATCACCATTAATCTCTTCAACAATGCATTCTTCCCTATAAAAACAACTACAATAATCTGAAACTTTTCGATTGCCCCTTCTTTTTCTTAGTGCCGAACTGTAAAATACGAAAGTGGTTTTGGTCAAAAGTAGGTAGTTACTGTCATGTCAAACAAGACAAGGGCTACCCAAAATCTTAATCCTTGTCAGTTTGCTTCATATATAAAAAAATGTATTTGCTTAAGGATCTATAGTAAGCGTTCTAGTTCAAGATAAAAAAAATGTGCAGATTTTCTAAATAATTCATATTTCTAACCCTTAGCAATCATTCAATTTGGGTGCTTATTAAATCTCTAATATTTGATTTTATAAAAATACGGCCTAATTATAATGAATAAACTAATAAATCTTCGGCTAATTGACCGACTTCCAACGATCTGGCCATATTGATTTGTTTTATAACCAACATGTCAGGTTTAAAAAAAAAATCAGCCTCAATAGCTTTACTCAACTCCAGATTTTTGCCGGCGCCGGATTTTATAAGTAAACAGGTAAAGTGATAACTATCAACGATTCAGGTAGTCAACATTAAACGTAAGTAAATACTACAACGCTGGGACTGCTAAAACATGATTACTCTATGAGCGACGCCCACCATTTTCAAAAGGCAGACGATTGTAGAAGGCTGTTGAATCCATTATCCGCCCTCTACAATCGAACGAGAACGTGAATTTATTATCGTGATCACGTTGCCTAGGCAACAAGTGCTGTTGCAATGGAAAAACATTGTGAAAACCATTGAACAAAATGAGAAGGATGGAAGAAGAGGAGAATTATGACGGTTGTGTCAAATGACATCTCTGATGTCAAATGACATCTCTGATGCTGTTCTAACTAAATACGTAACGCTGGTCGGTTGGTTTTTCACTCATTCATGTCTTTCATTTTCATTTTATTTCATTTTTTGCAAATTTTCTGTCTTCCGGTGATGATATAAATACCAGCTATTGGTATCGGACAGTAAAAGCAAAATGCACGAGGGACTCGTAAGAAACGTGTAGTAGAAAGGGAATTAGTTACATAGAATATTACAGATGTCAGAAGAAAGAGAGGAAAGATACAAAGAGAGAAGAAAATACATTCAAAGTAGAGTAGAGAAATGGATAAAGTAAAAAGAAAAAAAGGGCGAATAAAGCAATAGAAAGAAAAAAAATAGTGCAGAATTAGTCAAACTGGGAGGACGGCGCAAAAAGTGCTGGAGAAAGAAAGAGAAATAATGAAAAAAAGAAAAAGTCAGACATAAAACTAGACGAGAAGGAGAAACAGAATCCCAGAGAAAAAAGAGAGAGAGCGTGATATTAATAAGTGTGCGTTTGTAAAAGCAAATGAAATTCATAAAAAGAGCCAATGAGTGCGAAAATGTTGAATTAAAGAAAAACAGAAAGAAATGAACAGAATAAATATTACCGAGGCTTCAAGAAAGACAAATGTAACACAAACAGGAAGACTGATATGATCTTTCATAAGTATTAAAAATGTTAAATTTACCTGTCAGATTAAGTTGTGTTTCAGAGAGAGAGAGAGAGAGATATATATATTATATATAGATTATAGAGAGAGAGAGAGAGAGAGGCTGAACACAAGTCGACGTGTCTCAAAGACCAATATTAAAATCTGTAATGCATGTATACAAGTGGAATTTAATCATATCTGTACATTAATTGTTATATATGTAATAATGAGATATGTATGGATACATATCATGCCTATATTTATTATGAATATATATGTGTCGTTGTTAATAAATATGAATAAATGTTTATGCATAGGTATGTTTATTTAGAAACAAAAAAATTAATAAAAAATTTTATAATTTTCATTTACTTGTTTCAGTCAGCAATTGCACAAACACACATACATGCATACATAGGCGCACGGGCAGACACACGAAGTTCTGTATTTAGGCAGCGATCTCTCGATAAAACATATTTCATTAAAAAAGACCGTTAATTTTTTGTTGTATTTTTCTTTTATTCAAAAAAGATTTCTTCTTTGAATTTAGTGTGCATGGCGAATTCGCTGTAAAGATTATTATGAAAATAATAAGACCAATATTATTTATGAATTGAAATAACCCATAGAGAAGTGTGTTTTCGACGAAAACAAATTCATTAATAAATATATCTGACTTACCATCGTCTGACCCTACTTCAATTAATACAGCTCCATAAGGGCCTACTAAATCGTTATGAATACTTATTAACTTCGATATGCAACATACTCATCAAGAAAACAGACGTGATATGCACCTCTAACTGCATAAAGCGTCTAAAAATCATTGAAGCCCTTATCATAAAAAATTAAAATAAAAAATGAAACAAAGCATAACAACTACGAACAAGGCTACAATATAATTGCTGTATTCGGGAATTAAAAAAATTGTCTACATTTCAACATCATTTACAATAACATTTACACACCATTTATATTAGCACAAGTAAAATCCTTGAGATGGCTAATAAATTAGCCGAAAGCGAACGAACAATCATTTAGAAGGTACGATAGCAATTTTCCAAACCAAAGCTGCATCAAAACGTTATGGGTTTTGCTTAGTGGTCGGCATATGGAATTGTCCACAACTTACCGAACACTTGCAAAATGAACACAGTAAAAAGATATTAAGAGGAAATTGAGAAAATGCACCGCGTAAGGTAGCATTTATCTCCAACATCAATGGAAAATAGACCACTCTCATGACAATCTCCGATAGCATGTTTTGAAAATGATGCTGCAGAACGCATGATCTTCCACCTAAAAACATTAGGGATCCATGGAAAGCTATTGAGGCAACTTTCGGTTTTTCAGGCCACCTGTGAAATCGATATCGTGTTAAATTCACCGGGCTTACCTCACACTTGGCATCCATCTAATGTCTTTGTTGCTTGATTGATTCATTTTCTATGGCTTATCAAAAAATTACAGATTATTTAATGCCAGAATATATTTTTAGATTGTAAGAATGTATTTTTAAAGATAATAATGGCTTATTGATACAAGTCTTACAAATTAACCCATTGCTGAGAGAGAAGAGGTGGATTTATTCCCTTTTCCAAAAGATATTTGCACGTAAATGAATTTAATGAACACAACGGGAATTGGAACTCAGCTTTCCGATTAACAATTCTGAGATACTATCCACCACACGAGTCACACATCCAAGCTTACAGCATCTAGTACTCCCAGGTGGTCACCCATCTAGGTACTGACCAGGCAAAACGTTGCTTAACTTCGGTGATCGTAGGTACGTCATTGTAAATCACTTGCTTGAGCTGTTTACTGACTTTACTTTGCCAGTATACCCATTCAACTCGTATTGATCTCTATACTTCCAAATGTTTTTCATATTTATTTAATAAACAATTTATATTAATATAATTGATATTAATCTTTTTCATTTTGAAACCGTGAAGAAAGATCTTCATTTTCGCATAAAAATTGTAGATTTTCATATTAAACAACTTTTGATCTATGCAGGGTTTTGTGAAAAGACTCACGTCTCATAACTAAATAAAATGAAAATTGTTTCACATCGTGAATGGTGAAGTATTGTCAAGGCGGAAAGTGCCTACTTTGGACAAAGTGTCATATATATTTTTAATCAAGTGCCTGGGGCGAAGTTTTAGATATCACATGTTCAGAAATCTCGTTTAATGGGAAATCTTTCATCAACACTTGCAGAGAGTAATCTGACTGGTGACATCTATACTTGCTTAGGATTCACATTCGCAGATGAAATCACTGAAATATATAAAACGGTATACTATTTATTTAATATACAAAGGGATGTTGAAAAGTTCTCGACCCAACTAAAATCCCTTCACAACAAAAATCCAATGTTTGGTTATTTGGTCAGATATTGAAAATAAGGATGACCGAGTACTTTTCAGCATGCACTTGTAATGCGTATACACATGTATACCTGCTTACGTAAACACACATGCATATCAGAATAGACAACAAAACAACATTAATATATATAACGAAAATGTGGCATATAAATACAGTAGCATCCAATACTGAAGAACAAAATTTAAAAAATAAAAACAAATTGATATTTTACATATTCGATTTGGGATAAAAATTAAAATAAATATTCTTTAAATTTTTTTCCCAAGATTTTGAGAATACCTATAACAAAATTTATATATAAAGAAGCAAAGCTAAAGAAAGTTACAAAAAAAACCTGTTTATTACAAAAAGGTTCAACGCCCCAAAATATAGCGCGCACGCACACGCACACGCACACACATATATATATATATATATATATATATATATATATATATATATATATATAACTCAGGACTTGATCTGAGTGTTACATTAAAAAGGACGAAAAAGAAGCTTAGAGTGCAATTTCTAGAATATTTAAAGAATTATGGTGATATCGTTTGCTTTAATTTTCAGCAGAATCGAGCGATTCAAAGACTTTCTAAGGGGGGAGGGCTTTTTTTGACACATCGTCATGAAGAGTGCTTGAATTACCTATTTCTGCTAAAATGTCGTTTAACATGCCGTTATTCTCTAAGAGCATATCATATCGTTAAGCATCTTTATGTCTCATACTTCAAAAACAGTAAAATAATAATTCGACATCATAGCTTGGCTGTCCAAAGTTCAAATTTCAATACAAATGATAATACTTAGAAGATCGCTGCCAATAATGTTATGGCAAGTAAACAACGGATGGCAGTGACAGATTTGTGACAAGAGGAATAAGTCAAAATCACTCCTGAACAATATGAAAAAATGAAATCCTAAGATCATACACATGCAAACATAATGTACACCTTTTATTAATATTGTGTTAATAGTTTTTGTTCTATAATTTTATTTCCTCCGGGGTTCTTTTTATGCAAATTTACTTTAGTCTAGAACAAGTTTTTTTTTTTTATGTCTATCTACTTTTTTAATTTTTATCATTATCGAACTTTTAGAATTGGAAGATTTTTGTTTCAAACTTTCGTTATATTAGACGCGATTGCTTTATATCCAAGTAAAAATCAAAGAAAGCTATATATTATTATATTAATCAGATATTAGGAATAAAAAATAATTTCAGTAAATTCTTAACATTACTCTGCAAGCTACACCTTCTTCCTTATATAGTAATATATTGGAAACATTTTACCATGAGAGATACGCATTTACCATAGCAGAATAGATTAGAAAACGATTGATACAGATATGGTTTCTATGTTATTTTTAATAAGAATGTTAATATGTGAAAGGAGGCTGAAAAGATCTTGGTACGTTGTTGGATTATTTTGTGAGATTAAATGTGTGTGTGTGTGTGTGGAGAGAGAGAGAGAGGAGGAGAGAGAGGGAGAGAGAGAAGCGTTGTGCTAACAGCTGCCGTAGGAAAAAGCTACAAAGATTGTCTATGGAAGAAATAGGAAAATTGAGTTTGGGAATGGAATACATTAACAACTGCAGATTTTTCAGACTTATAAAAAAGCAGAGCAAAAATCAAGGCGTAATTATTCTAGACTTATCTATTTGCATTTGTAAAATAATTTGGAACTTGTAGAGACAGTTGAGCAAAGTTGTTAATGTAAACTCATTTGATGTGAACCCAGGGTTCACCGGAAGGAAGAAAGTTCTTAGGATTTTTGTAAATAATGAGTTAACGGAGTATTGTTTCTATATTTCTAGTGAATATATTTCTATATTTCTAGTGAATATATTTCTATATTGTTTCTATATTTCTAGCCTTTTGTACGGTTTTTTTTTAAGTGCAGGTAGCTGTATTAAAGAATATTTGCGTATAGATACAATTTTCATAACTGCTAGAATAAAATGGAAAATGTTTTTTCTCTTCTTACAAATATTATTTTTTTAAATGGCACGCTTGTTGTTCAGTGAATATCATGCAAAATAACGAGAATATGTTGAAAATTATGCACCATTGTCTTTTAAGTGCAATGAAGAAATAGTTATTATAGTAAAGAAAATAAATGGCGCTTGATGAAGAATGATGTTTAGCAAATCTTATATTTTAAAGAATCAAGCATGAATCTCCCTATATATATATATATATATATATATATATATATATATTCAGTTGTATGGATATTAGTCTGCAACCCTGGGTTTCACGCTTTTGCGGTCATCAGACATGTTAGCTTTCACACAGATAATGACCACATAAGTACTGCATATATATATATATATATATATATATATATATATATATATATATAAGGATATTAAAGCAACATGCAAAAATCGCTACACAACTGCAGTCGTGTTTCAATGCATACCAATGCGTCTCCTCAGACGATTGTAAATTACTGGCGAGTGAATGATTAATTTGGTTTCAAAAACAACATACATCCTCTTTTTTAAAAAAACAAAAACACGGTATAAGGCTTGAGATGTGTGTGTCTTTTAAAAAAATGTATAAATTTATCCACGTCTACAACTTTATATGTCTGATTATGTCGATCTCACACACCATCTATCTTTTGTTTTTATTCACTTCTCTTTCTCTCTCATATAGCCTGTTGGCCATGTGCACATATTTCTATAATTCGTGTCTATTTCTTTTCATGATTTTATTTTCTCTTTCACTCCATTCATTTCATAACTCTGCTTATCAAGATCAGCAAGATATAAAGGCAGGTGTGGCAACCGTAAACTTTGACATCTAGGAAATGCTCAAACTTATATCAGTGTTCGAACACAGCTTATCATCTCATCATTCATCTTGCCATTTTTTATTTTAAGTGTCTTTCCTTTTATTCCCTCTTTTATGTATCAGATAAATATAAATTACATCTTATTTTAGCCACGTTTCATCGTTCTGTTTTGGGACTTTTCTCTATTACCGTGACGGTAACTACTGCACCCGACGCCCTAATATTCAATCAGGTCAGGACGACCATTCTTACTCATTACTGAGTCAGTTCTCTTTCCCACAAAACTAGTTAACCTTTAGGAATCATTTTAATGGGAAGGGAAAGAGAAAAAACAGGAAGTGTTGAAAAATAATGAAAGAAATATGGAGAGAAAGAGAGAGAGAGAGAGAAAGAGAGAGAGAGAATGCAAAGTAAAATGATATGGAATCATGGTAGAGATTTAATAAATACAAAAGAAGGAAATATATGATGAGACATAGAAAACAGAAATAGACAATGAAAAGAAAGAAAGAAAGGATTCACTGAAAAAAGAACCAAAATTGAAGAAAAAAACTTGACTAGAAAACACAAAGGATAAACTATGCTGAAATATTAAAGATAGAAATAAGTGGAAAGAGTTCAAAATTGAAGAATGAAAAAGTTTGATGAGAATTTGCAAGTCATAAAATGTGTGTGAGCAAAGGAAGGAACGATGTTGGATGTAAAAAATACAAAAATGAACAAATAAATCTTGTATATTAAATTTCACACCTATGAAGCGAAAATTATTATTCATGTGATTTCACTACAGCATAAATGTGATTTCGTCTCATAATTAATTGCCAATTAATTATGAGACATTTCACTGGATGTTACACGATGTGGTTTTATGCAAGACTAAACTTAATAAAATTGTCTCAACGAGTTTCTATGGATGTTATGATTGTGACAGGTCCGGAACTGTATATAGCATGAATTTTCAAATGCACTTTTTCGTTTAAAATCAAACTTAAGAACTTACTTGTACATAGCATAATAGTCAAATACGATATGTTTTCAAATACAAAGAAAGCTTATAGGTAAATATTTATAACATAAGTATTGCAAGTATTACGAGTGCACGAATGACTTGGTTGAAACATAAAATGGAGTTACTGCAATCTTTCAAGAGTGATGCTTTTTTTTTAAATTCTTGATTTACCTGAACTATTCAGGCCTAGAAGTAAATGCACAAGAAAATACGCGCTTCTAACAAGTCAATAGCGCTTACATATATATTAACACTGAAACATAGTGCTCAACTAAAATTGGATACAGGTGCATTTGAAAAAATAGTATCCACTGAGACATTAATGGATAAAAATGCGCAAGCATGCATATATTTTACATTTTTTTACGTCTATATATGCATACAGACAGATTTGTATATTTATAGGTGTTTATAATTTTAGGAATCCCGTTTATATATATATATATATATATATATATATATATATATATATATATATATATATATGTGTGTGTGTGTGTGTGTGTGTGTGTGTGTGTGTGTCGTACCACCTACCTACGTGAGTAAGTCGTGGGTAACACACAAAAGAAAAAAAATAACCTATTTGAAAA